TGTTTTAGGTTTAGGGTTTCATAGAATCATGCATGTGACCAAAAAAAATATAATAATATTATTGGTAAAAATGCAAATTTTTTATGCATGTGACATGTGCATGATAAGAGAATAAACTAATTACAAATCTAGGCATTTATAAAACTAAATTACAAACAAGATGTGCATATAAAAACATGTGAAAAATGGTTCAAACACAAAAATTTTTCAAACTTTGAAAACATGTTCCATTATTGTTCTTCCTTGAAAACTAACCAAACAATCACCAAAAATCAATAAAACAACCTACTAAACTAACATTTTTTTGCATATAAATTAAATCTAACACATTGAAAACTTGATAAACCAACCAAAAACAAACACATATGAAACAAACATTATTTGGCCATGAACAAGGTTGAAAGTTTCGGCCAAGCATAAGAATGCCTTGGTTGAATGCTTTATTGGCTATTCCCAAATCATACAATCATTTACTAAGGCAAGTCATGTATCAATTCATCATTTAAATACATTTACATCATGAGAAAAATTTTATCAAACATGTAATGAACTAAAATGGTGAGGATACCATTGAACCAAACATTCAAAGCCAAACAACATACCTACATCACAAACTAGCTAAAATTCATGCAAATAACAAATGAACTTACAATTTAATCACCAAAAACAACATTTAAAGGCAAGAAAGCATCAATGGAAGACCAAAAAAGGTTCGACCATGGTGAAGCAACGTTGGCCAATCCTCCAAAGGTCAAAAATGGTGGATTAGTGTTTTTTTGTTTCTTGACTTTCTAATTTCAATCCAAACTATAAGCTAGTTGAACAAAATTTGATCTAAGCTTTGAATAAAAAATTATAAATTTCTCAAAAGAAAAATAAAAAAATGAATGAAGAACCAATGTAAAAATGTTCTAAACATATGATGAAAAATGCAAGAAATCAAGTAGTAAAATTATACCTCCAAGCTAGCAAACTTTAAAGATTTTTTTTTCTTTTTTCATCTCTTTTCACATTTTATTTTCTCCCTCTATTTTGTGGTTTTTCCTATCTTTTTCTTTGTTCTTCCACATCTTCAATTCCCACCCTAGAAGAAGATGAAAATATCCCCTTACAATTGATTTTAGCCTTTAGATCATAAATGCATCCAATAGTCCAAGTTGCTCTCTTGTTTTTTTTTTTTGCAAAAAGCAAACGTTCACCATTAGATCAAGCTTGCTAATGTCATCCTATGATTCAGAATGCACAATGCCAAAGATGGGTTATTAATGGTATTGGAGCTAAGTGATAAGACTATTTTACCTCTATTACAAAGATTTTGGTTTCTACTCTATTTTTTTAGAAAATAATGTTCCCTTCTTCAATTTTTTGATTTTAAAGCACCAAAAATCCTCAAATAATATGAAATTAAAATCCAAAAATTTTTGTGAAAATCGAACCTCGAGAAAGTCAAATTGAGAAATTACCTCTAAGGGATATTTTTGTAATTTCACACCTCTCGAGGTGTTGTCAAGGTTTTCAATACACTAAAAATTATCAAATATTATAAAACATGATCTAAAAAATTTTACAAAAAATCAACCTTGAAAAGATCAAATTACAAAAATACCCTTAAAGGGTATTTTAGTGGTTTCGCACCTTTCAAGATACAATCAAAGTTTTCAATATTTCAAAATAATTAAATATTATAAAATTATAATTTGAACCTTTTTAAGAAATTCCAACATCAGGAAGGTTAATTTATGAAAACACCCCTAAATGGTATTTTTATAATTTTACACCTCTCAAAGTGTGATATGTGGTTTTAATACATAAAAAATTATTAAAAAATTCAATTATGATATGAAAATTTTCACAAAAATTCAACTTTAAAAAGGTCAAATTACAAAAATATTTTAAAGGTATTTTAATAATTTTACACTTTCCAAAATGCAATCGGGTTTTTCAATACTTTAAAAATTACAAATTTCAATTTAAAATCACATTGATTTGAATTGGTTGTGAATTTTGAAAGTTGATTAGAATTCTATTTATTTTGAGCAATTTTGATCAAGTTTGACTTTATTTAATCAAGTTTGATCAAGTTTGACCTTGAGGTATTTTAGTTAAATTGGCCCTAAATTTAAATTTTAAAAACTTTCCAAAATTGATAAAAAAATTATATTTGAACCAGATCAGATTTGAAGAACTTCAAAAATGGTTTAATTTTATCTAAATAAATTTAAGTATCTACAATTGCAACTTTTAAATTGTATTTGCATAAGCTAAGAGGAAGCAAAACTACAAATCCTTGCCTTCAATTTTTTTGTTTTGGTGAATAGGAAATAGACAATGAACCAAAGCCACTCTCATTTCATAAGGGTTAATTTGACAATAAGTCATCTTACAAAAGAAGCAACTACCATCCTGATCCAAGTCCAAAACTATGAATTCACATTGAGTTTTGTCACCATCAAGTAATTAAGATAACTCACATAAGATATACTAAATGTTACATGTCCACAATCACTAATTTATACATAAGATGACTACTATTGGCCAATTTTCTCAAATGGTTGAAATCAATTTTTGAATTCTTTTGTTAGTATATTTCAAAAAGGGATAAAGTCTCATTTGGCCCTTAAATTATTACATTTTTTATAATGTAATACCTAAACAAAAAAGTTTTTTAATCAAGTACATAAACTATATTTTCGCGTGTTAATTTGCCCCAACCGTTAACACTATTAATCTTAAATGTTGATGTATTATTAACATCTAATAAGATATTAACACGTGTCAAAAATTCAGTTAATACCACATTGTCAATGCCATGTCAATATTAAAAGAAAAATTTTTTAAAATCTAAACAAATTTTAAAAATTTTTGAAAATTTCTAAAAAATTTAAAAAATTCTAAAAAAATTCTAAATTTTTTTTTAAAGTTCTAAATATTTAAAAAATTCAAAACTTATAAATGCTAAACCTTTTTTTTTAAATTTCATTTCTTCTTCCCACTCCACAAAAAGTCCTTTCTTTCTTAAACAACAAACATCCGACCCTTCTTTTTTAAAAATTATAAAAAATTCAAAAAAAGTCTAAAATAATTCTAAAAATTTCTAAAATTTTCTAAAAATTTTTAAAATATTCAAAATTTTTTTATAAATTTTAAAAATTTTTCAAATTTTTTATGAATTTTTCAAAAAATTTTAGAATTTTTTAGATTCTTGGGATAATGTCCTTTTTTATATTTTTTTATATTTTAAAAATTTTAAAAATTTTTGAATTTTTTATAACTTTTAAAAATTTTATAATTTTTTTATAATTTTTCAAAAAGAAGGGCCAATTATTTGTTGTTTGAGGGAGAAATGATTTTTTTTTTTTTGGAAAGTGGGAGGAAGAAATGAAATAAAAAAGGGTTTAGCTTTTATAAGTTTTGAATTTTTTAAAGAATATTTTTATATTTTTAATTTTTAAAATTTTGTTTTGAAATTTTGAAATTTTTTAAAATTTTAAAATAATTTTAGAATTTTTTTATAATTGTTAAAATTTAAAAAAATTTATAATTTAAAAAAAAATTATAATTTTTTAAAATTTTTTAAAAATGCTAACATAATATTAATAATATAGCGTTAATTAAACTTTTTGATACGTGTCAGTATCACATTAGATATTATTGATACATCAATGTTTAGGTTAATAATATTAACGATTGAGATAAATTAACACATGAAAAAATTATTTAAATACTTGATTAAAAATTTTTTTATTTTGATACCATATTAAAGAAAATACAATAATTTAAGAGTCAAATGGGATATTATCCCTTTAGCTAACCTAAATCTTCTTTCACATTAGTCATACTTAGCAAATATGATCTAAGATTTCAATAAGCATAATCAATTGAGCTATTTAATGAATTAGCAAAAGATTAGTTACTGTGCCTCCAAAAAACAATGCTTTCCTTTTCGGGAATTAAGGGGTAGAAGAGAAAAGGGGCACTGGGTTATTATTGAGAGATCATTATTTCCTGAACAAAAACAATTTAAAACCTAAAGGATAATTAATGATCGATTTTACTGTGTGGACCACGGTGAACTGATCCACAGCCCTTACTCCAAGGAACTAAACGTGGGCATAGGGCACTTTAGTCACCTCACATTTTGTACTTTTGGGCCCTCTTGCCGAAATGTGATCCTGAAGCTAGTTACTGAAATTGGCTGCCCAAAGCATCTCATGTTGTAGCTAGACATCAAGTGTTCTATTCAATATTTTTCTGGTTTTTGAATCCGAGAACCAAAGCCGCCTAGCTGGAGGAATTTTCGTTTGAACTGGTTATCTTGATAAAGGTATTCGCTCTCTCTGTCTATCTTTTTGTAGGTTTCACTAAATTTTCAGAGACAGGGAAGAAAGGTTTAGCTTGGTGATGAATTTAGTTGCTAACGTTGAAGCAATCATTCGAGACAGCTCAAAACAATAAAATTTTTACCCCAAAAATAATAATAATAAAATTCATACGTTTGGGTATATGACCAGGTAGTTTGTTTTGATAGACAAGACAACGATAATTTAATCCTGAGATTATATCAACCAATTGCTCAACAAAAACTTGATGGGATTTTATCTCAAATTTATTTATTTATTTTATTTCCTTCACATTTCAATGCTCAAAATTCGTTGAAATCATGTAGACACGGCATGCATATATAATGTCTGTAGAGAATATCGACCAATGAAAGGAATTGAATTATGTTTAGACAAATTCAAACGACCGGATAAAGCCATGAATCTGACCAGGTTATACAAAATACTGTAGTTAGTTGAAGTAGAGGAAGCAAATGAAATAGGGAAAGAGATTAGTCGCGAAGGAGAAATGTAGAGGGATTATAGTATTAGCCATTAGGGGGAGGCACGTGACAAGGTGGGGGGGGGGGGTGACAGAATCGATCCTTTGCTTGTAGGAGTAAACTGAGAGGGTCCCCCACTCGCTGTTGGGCCCGTAAGTGGAGTACTCTTTCGGTATGCCCTTCCCTTCTTTATCGAAAAACCCACAAAAAATTTTTTATTCTCTCTTCTCCTGTTGTGGGTCGGTCACGTAAAAATTAAAACACGAGTCTGAGTTTATAGTATGACGCCTTCGCCGATATTTCTGACGTATTCTAACCATTGATCCCACGGCTCAGGTTGTCCCAACAGGACAACCAAGGTGACATCACGGCCCTTAATTTGCTAGATGAATGTTAGTCAAGTAGCCAATAGGTGGGCCCTGTGTCTTTAGACTGCATTGCATTGTGGGGGCCCATAAAATATATTTTTTTAGCCCACTGACGACTACGAATGGAATGGACTGTAGCTATTCTCTGTCCCTGTACTCTACAAGGACCTTTTTCTTCCTTCTTATTCACAGCCTCCTCCCCTAACCTGAAACACCATTCCATTTCTGATTTCCCTTACTCACTCTGTCTTCTTCCACCCCGTTCTCTATAGTGTTAGGTGTCATATTTAGAACTGAATGAAGTGTTAGTTAATAGAAAGAGCGACAGCAGAGATTAATTGTTTTCTTTGCATATTTGGTTTTCTGTCTTTGTTGGGTATAATTGTTGAATGGGTCTTACTTCTATGCAAGGTTGCATGGATTCATCTGACTGGCTTCAGGTATGCCTATTTCATGCATTTGAAATCTATAGTAACTCATATATTATCTTTCCTTCCTTTTCTTCACCATCGGCCAAGTTAGACGCTGTCTTGGTGCTTGAAGTGCCTCGTTATGCTTAGGGTGACATTTAGCTTTAATGAGCATGACCCCATCCATATGAAACAAAGTTAATTAGAAGAACATTTTTCTTTTTTGAACTTTGAATAGCATTGAAATGGGATGAATGATTTTGGAGTCCTAGCTAGTATGACAGAAAGAAGAAGCAAGAAGAATGTACGGAGAAGTTTGGACAAATGAAAACGCATTAGTTGTCATTTGCTCTGAAGTTCAAACAACAGTAAATTTGTGCATTACGTTATTCGGCCACTGACAGAAGGCAAACTAGCTACCAGAACTGTTAACCGTTTATACTAGATTCGGTAGCTTAAACTGCGGAATTTTCTTTTCGGGTCGCGTTTAGTAATTATTGTACTACTCTGGTCTAGTAGTATAGTTAGTACTTTTTTTCTTTTTCTTTTTCATTCAGACAATCTAGTTGGATATGTGAAAAGGATAAAGGAGTATCTAGTCATCGCATTATCTGCCGGCTGAAAAGGACAAAGAATGTCTAGTGCTAACATTATAGATTACCGGTTTGAATAAAAAATTCTGACACATTTTCCACTATTTCCTTGTTCTCCATGTTTAGGGAACGATACACGAGGAGTATGGAATGGATTCTTCATCGCCATCTGGGGATATGCTCACATGCTCAAGGCCCTTGATAGAAAGGAGGCTAATACCCCAGCATGGCCAAGCCCTCAAGTGCCCAAGATGCGACTCCACGCACACCAAATTTTGCTACTACAACAATTACAGCCTCTCCCAGCCGAGGTACTTTTGCAAGAGTTGTAGGAGGTACTGGACCAAGGGAGGGACGCTAAGGAACATTCCTGTTGGTGGAGGCTGTAGAAAGAACAAGAAAGTTGCTATTAAAAAATCAAATGATCAATCAGCCAACAACAACCCCGGATTATCTAATTTTTATAATCCCACTAATCTTAACCTTTCATTTCCTGAAGTGCACCTTTCTAACCTTAATGTACTTAGTACTCATGGTACTAATACTAACTTCATGGAGAGTAAATATAATGCACTGCTTGAAAATCCAAGGCCGATTGATTTCGTGGAGAGTAAGCTTGAAGCCATAGTTGGGAGCTCTAGGAACTATAATTTTATGGCGAATGGTGGTGAGTTGGGTATGGCTGGTGAACTTGGGGAGCAAGCACCAAATCTCCATGGCCTTTGCTTTCCATATGGGATTTTCCTTGATGACAATGGTGGTACTTTCATGGACACCAGCCAGAGGATAAAGCTTCCTTATGATGCAAATGAAGATCAACATGCTAGCGATGTGAAGTCAGACACCAAGCTCTTGTCCCTTGACTGGCAAGACCAAGGATGTTCTGACGCCGGGAAAGACAATTACAGATACTTGAACAATATGGGATCATGGACTGGAATGATAAATAATTATGGACCCTCCACAACAAATCCATTAGTCTCAAGCAATCTGTAATAAACTCTACAACTTAGAATCCTGGTGGCAGCCTGGCACGTTGTTTAAAAATTAAAATGACTGTGGATTATAATCATCTGCATTATGCAGAGTCTAGCTTATCCATCTCCAAGTAAATGCCTTTGTTAGTTTGTAGAAATGTCCTCAATTAGTTTTCTAATATATATCTGGTATTTTTTCTGTTGGATGGCCTTCAATTTTTATTAAGTTTAACTAGGAGAAACTTTTGTGAATGAGAAACTTCATGGAGTTCCCATAATGGCCACCCTATATTAGTGCATTCGTGTCAGTTTCTTTTTTTTTTTTTTCCTTTTCTTTGTGATTGGGTTTCTTCGGCGAAAGACATTCAAAGCTCTAGGATTTTGTTGTTATACCGAGGAAGATATAGAGTGCGTTTTCTGGTTTTTTTTTTTTTTTTTTTTTTTTCAGTTAAATTTACGCTACTTGTTTTATCTTTTACATGGATGATGTCTGCATTATGATATAATGCAAGCACTATTGATAAATGGATGGGGAGTTTTTCTAACATCAAGGCAGGGGAAACTGAAAGCACAAAATGCCCTTTCGAATTGCGGGCTGTTTGCATATGACCCTTCTATACTTCGATAGCTCCTGCCTCCTCTGTTATATGGACTCCGTACTTTAGGGTGCCAATTCCATACCCGTGTCTACACGACCCGACAAGGATACCGACACGAAATATGTGTCTGACTCGTTACCGTAAATTGCGACTCGGCTTCTCCACACAAAGGCGCTTCGAAAACCAGTGCAGAGCTAAGGAAAGAAGATGGAAATCACTGATGTTGATGCTAGCTGGGTTTCTCAGCTTCTGCAACATTGTAGCTTAGGAACATAAATGGCAAATAGAAACTTTGCTATAGCCCTGGTATTTTAAAGAGAGAAAAGGGAGGGATGACAAGATTTTAATTTTGAAATGCAGGAGGAGCACTGCAGTGAGGTTTCCCTCCGGCTAGAAGAAGAAGAAATGAAGAAATGATGGAATGGTGATAGATGGTGATAGATAAGGGCTTTCTTGCGGAGTACTTCTAAATACACTCTGTTGTTTTTTATACACCAAACTCTAAACACACCTCAAATTCAAAATTTAAAAACAAATTTTTATTGATAACATCCCATACCCCAAACCCTCATTTCTCATAAAACCCTCTCATTCCTAAACCCATTTTAAATTCTAAAACCTCATCTCTCAGTTTGTAACCCAAAAATCACTAAGATTTGGAGTTGATCAAGTCATAAAACTTCAATTTAGAGGTAATTTTCTTCGACATTTTTTGATTTTGCACATTTGATTTTGATATTTAGGTTAGATTCATGCTAGAATACCTAGCTTTTGGATTTACATTTCTGGGATTGCCTCAAAACTTTTGGATTTACATTTCTAAAAACTTTTAAAAGTTTTTGATTTGTAAATCCAAAAATTTTAAAAGGTTTCCAAATTTACAAATCCTGAAGTTTTAATAAATTATCGAATTTGCATATTCGAAAAGCTTTAAAAGCTTTTTGATTTTTATTTCCAGTTGCATTTAATTTGCATATTTGCTTTGAGAGATAAAGTATTGATCATTTATTAGAAATAACAACATATATGACATGAATGAGAGAAAGAGGCATCGGTAGAGGTGGGGAATATGCTTGTAGACATCGAATTTTGTTTGAAATATTTTAACATGATTAATCCGAGCTTATTTGTGAACATGGACTAGAGCTATTAATATAGGACCATTATGTAAACTATTTGGAGGCCCAAAATCAACTTGGGTCAAATTCAATCAAACTTAATCAATAATGTTAAAATTAGTCAAACAAAGTCAAAATTATACAAATTTAGTCAAAATGGATAGAATCTTGGTTAATTTTCAAAATTTACAACCTAATCGGAATCAATGTAGTTTAGAGTCAAAGATGGTGATTTTTAAAACACTAAAAATTTTTATGACACTTAGCGAATTATAAAATTACTAAAATACCTTTTAGAGATATTTTCATATTTTAGCCTTCCCTAGCTCAGGTTTTCATGAAACTTTTCAGATCTTAATTTTATAATGTTTCATAATTTTTGGTGCATTTGAAATCATAGTAGTACCTCAGAAGTGTGAAATTACCAAAATACTCCTATAGTGGTATTTTCATAATTTGATTTTTTTGAGATCGAATTTTCATGAAACTTTTCATATCCTACTTTCATAATATTTCATGATTTTTGATGCATTTGAAATCACAATAGTACCCCTATAAATGTAACATTACTAAAAAATACCATTTTAAGGGTATTTTTGTAATTTGACCTTCTGAGTTCAGATTTTCATGAAATTTTTTAGATCTTAATTTTATAATATTTCATAATTTTTTATTTTTAAACTTGTAAAAATGAGCATGGGAACATTGATTTCTAAAAAAAATAGCCTAAATACTAAAAACTTTATACTATAGGTAAAATGGTCTTTATGTGGTTAGAGGCTATAAAAATTCAACCTTTGTAGTGAATAACATGGACTATTAGATCTTCTATTAAATCTTGATCCAATAGCTAAAGATTGCTCATTGAAAAAAAAGGAAGAAACTTTGGCCCTTGGATGAGATTTGATCTAAGGGCCTATATTCACCAAGAAAAAAATATTTTTTTAAAGGGTATTCTTCTTTACAAGAGAGGTCTATTGAGGAAAAAAGGAGGGGGCTTTCTTGAAAAAAAAACCAAAAAAAATCACAAAGGAAGAAAGGAAAGCTTGGTTGAAAAAGTCAAAAGAAAAAATCTCTTGAAGAAAACGGGAGGGAAAGTAGTCTTCTTGAACTTTTTGGATATTCATGTTCTTCCGTTTGAGATTAAGATAAATGGTCCTTTCCTCTTCATGTTTGTTTCAGTATAGGGTTTGTATGAAAGTTGAAAGCTTGTTGGTTCTTATGTGTTCTTTTGTTTACTGTTTTGGGAAGGGTCCATGGAAGTTTCAAGTTTTATCATCTCATGTAAGTTGTTTTAGGTTTCATATTCATAGAAGCCTATGGCTTCAGTCCAACTAAGGTCCCACTGTGAATGAATGAAAGTTTCCATGTCTATTTTTTTTGTAATCTAGTTGCTTGTTTATTGGACAAAGTTGGGACCTTTTCATGATTATCTCTTTTGCATGGTGATTATTAACCAAATATCAAGCTAGGATTACTATTGTTGAAAGAGTCTCCACTGTGAACACCCTGGAAAGTTTAAAGCTTTCAAAGCATTTTCTTGTCTTGCTTCCTATGTACTTACTTCATGCCTATTATTACAAGTTCCTAAGTGATCATTCATGAGAAAAAAAGTCTAAAGGCTAAGCCCTTATCCTAAGGCCTACAATGGATTGTTGATTTTAAATTTAATAAAAGATGTTGACCAGACATTCCTCTTTCACAAAAAAGAATACCACTAGTTTATTCCAAAAAGCAAGTACTATTGTTCCTTTTTAAAGGTATAATGCATGTTCACGTATTCTTTATTATTTTTCTTTTGTTGATTTGTTAACTTTGTCCATGTGCAATGCTTGTTGCTATAAGATCCATTTATATTTCATTTATCATGCCATTTTTTGTTTGTGTAGACTCTTTTATATTCTAGTCATATCATTTCTATCCTCTTTTATTCATTTATTTATCCATTATCATCATATCTCTTTTAAATTGTTCATTAGTAATATTTCGCATACACATATATATTATTCTTGAATATTTATTAAATATATATTTTTACATGATAATTATATGATGTAATAATATAAAGATTACAAAAAAAGATTATTTTTTTTCTAAAAAAAAGAAAAGAAAATTATAAAAACAAGCTTATTCCGAAAGTCTACTTAGATGTTAGAGACTTTTAGAGAGGTACATAAATTCTTAAAATTCAAACTTGAACTTACCCAAATCCCCAAATCCATTTTAAATTTTTAAAGATTTGCATGAAAACCTTTTATAAAATAATATATTCTCGAATGTCGTGGAGATGTTGGGGTATTTAGGAAATTTTATTTCAGTAAGAATTTTCATATATTTTCACAACTCAAAATAACTTCATTTTGTTAAAACCCTGATTATAAAAATACAAAATAATAAAAATAGTAGGACGAAATTTTAAAAATGAAAATTTGCACTCAAACTCTGCCTAAATGTTGGAGAGTCCAGGTGATCTCTTTATATTTGAAAACCTGATTCTTAAATTTGAATTTGATCATCATATGCATACGTTTCATTTTTCTATTAATGTAGTAATTTATAATGCATGTATATATGTTTTTAAAAGGTTTGTAAATTCTTAAAATTTGAACCCAAACCTACTTAAAATCTCAAACTTGTTTTAAATTTCTAAGGAGATGTATGAAAACCTTTTATGAAATAATATGTTCTTGAATGCCACCTAGATGTTTGGGTATTTAGAAAATTTTATTTCATTAAGAATTTTTATATATTTTCGCAACTCAAAATAAATTTGTTTTGACCACAATTATAAAAATACAAAATAATAAAAATAATAGGATGAGATTTTAAATATAAAAATTTGCATCCAAACTCTACTTAAATGTTAGAAACTCCAGATGGTCTCTTTACATTTGAAAAGCCGATTCTTAAATTCACATTTGATCATCATTTGCATATACTTCATTTTTAGATTAATTTCTTCATTTATAATGCATATATATATATATGTTTGCTCCAGTGATGAATGTTTAATATTAATTATATTATTTTTTGTTTTTTTACTACATAGTTTTGAACAAATAAAATTAAAATAGCATTCTATGAAATATAATTATCAGTACTCTGCCTAAATGTTGGAGAGTCATTAATGATTATCATTTACAAATAGTGTTATTTTATTATCTTAGAAGGAATGTTATGATAAATCCTAAATGGAAAAACTATCTTTGAATTCTGTCTTTATGTTAAAGACTTTAAAGATATTTCCTTTAATTTAAGATTTTCATAATATTTCTAAATAAAAGATTTTTTTAAAACTAATTTTATTTCTTACAAACAAATGGAATAATAATTAAATTTCATATAAAAAACCATTTTTATCCA